TGGATGGGGGAATCTGATCAGTTTATTAGTTCAATCCGCTGGTTGAACGCAAAATAACTGACCCATCTATGGCCAACCTAACAGGGTCACAGAAAGTAATAAAACCCTGACAGGTGTTCTAAACCCTCCACTTAAATGGCTCTATATTGGGCTGTGTCTGTACTATAAACCCATGGCTCTGGATAGACGTTTGACCACAGGGGTGTAAAGGAATGATTTGCATGGCTCTGCCCCCTAAAATGAGGAATAGACCCTTCATTTTTTGGATCTGTGATAGAAGCTAGACAAGCATATACAGGGGCGTTTTCCTAGGGTGGCGGTTTTCAGGGGGGGCTGCAGAATAAGGGACACACAAGACATAGGGACCAGGTGGGATCTGTGAGAGGCTGCGGGCTGCTTGAGTGTGTATGCAGAGCCCGACTCTCATTCCCGGTGACGTCCGGAGCTGTGAAGGTGAGTGTGTCTCTCTTGCCGGTGGAGGGGCGTGGCAGGTATAGGGGGGCAGTGGAAGGCTCTCTCCACCAGGGGGGTGTGGGGGTTGATTGGCGTTGGTCGTTGTCAGGCTCTCTCCACGGGAGGGTGGTATGGGGGTTGGTTGGCATTGGTCTTTATCAGGCTCTCTCCACAGGAGGGGGGTGCAGTGAGATATGGTGTTGGTCGGTTTCAGGCTCCCTCCCCAGGGAAGGAGGGTGGGTGATTTTTGTGTTGCCTAGGGCAGCATAAAATCTAAATACACCACTGAGAATATACCTAAAGTTTTAAACATACCCTACTGTGTTTATCACTAATGAAGTGGCTTTTCGGTTTCTTTTAGCCCGCCTACCATAAGTTGTTTCATTGGGGTTGATTTACTAAAACAGGAGAGTGCAAAATCTGCTGCAGCTGTGCATGGCAGCCAATCAGCTTCTAACTTCAGCTTGTTCCATTAAGCTTTGACAATAAAACCTGGAAGCTGATTGGTTTCTGTGCAGAGCTGCACCAGACTTTGTACTCTCCAGATTTAGAAAATCATCCCCATTATGTCTTTCAAAATCTCTGGTAGCAAGTTGCAGGCTCAGACCACCAACCACAGCTATTAGGAGGTTTATGTGTCCTTGTGAATGTTCTATACTGTATATATATTAAAGTACAGATGTAATTTTGGTGGCCAAAAACACCCCTTTCAGCCATTGTCCAAAATGAAAAAAAAGCACCGATACAAGTGCTGAAAAAACTCTGTGCCCCTCGCCGCTGCTGCCACCACCGGCCGCCGCTCGGTAGTTCTCAGCCTTACCTGAGAAACCATAGAACGATTCCGGCGCTGGGCATAGAGATGAGTGAAGGTAAGATGGCCTCCACTTATCTCTATGCCCTTGGAGGACCGGAGCGACGTCATTTCTGGTTCCAGGCATTTTTTTTTTAAAGCACTAGATCAATGTTTTTTTTGATCCAATGCTTTACATTGCAGAGGAGAGATGTGGGGTCTTATTGACCTCATATGGACCTGTCACTGATTATTTCTATCACAAGGGATGCATGCATTTCTTGTGATAAGAATAAAAGTGATTAAACATTTTTTTAAAGGGACAGTACAAAAAAATTGTTTAAAGTGCCGCCGTCCCCCTTTGCTCGCATGTAGTGGTGAATGCATACGTAGGCCTTGTCCACATGTAAATGGTTGTCAAACCACACACTGGAGGTATCGCCACAAACATCAGAGCAAGAGCAATAATTCTCGCACTAGACCTCCTCTGTAACTTTACACTGCTAACGTGTAGAAATTTTTAAAGCATCACTCATGGAGATTTTTAAGAACTGCAGTTTCACGCCATTCCAAGATCGTGCGCAATTTTAATGCGTGACATGTTGTGTATCTATTTACTCACCATAACATCCTCTTTCATATTTTACAAAAAAATTGGAAATTGGAGTATATATTGTTTTTCAAAAAATATATATTCATTTTTAAAAACTGCGCATTTCGGTTTCAGCTTTTGGCCAAGTGCATTTTGAATTTTCGGTTTCGGCACCAGAATTTTCATTTCGGTGCACCACTATATTAAAGGCTTAGTCCACCTTTGTGAACCTTTTTAGGGTATAACATGAAACATGGTCACATTCCTCAGCCCCCCACCCTCAAAACCACCCCCTGAATTGTGAGGTGCTTTATCTCCCTGCAGCGTCCTGTGGATGTATGAAATAAACACAGCTGTGTGTAGCTTCTCCGGTATTGTCAATGTCATTCATCCATTCCCAGGGATCTGGAATGGAAAGACTACAACTCCCATCTGCCATCAGTGCAGAGGGACTCACAGTTCTCAATGAAGCAAAAGTGCAGTGGTGATGTAGTCCATTGATTACTTCTTCCAGCCCCATAATGGTAGGTCCTTCATATGGGCTTGGGGTTGGGATGTAAACAATGCAGAAGCCTGCGCATTGCACCTATGATATATTGATTGCAGTTGCAATGCTTTTCAGGCTTCAAAGCAAACATTTAATAAATGCACACGTCTTATTTTATTAATGTGGGTGCATTTAAAGGATAAGTTCACCGTTTAAAAAAAATTATAAATGCACATTTTTTTTGCGGGTAAATCTTTTGGTATTTTTTGTTGCAGGAGCCTGTAAGGCATTGCACCTGCGATCAGCAGATCACTGGTGCCATGTAAGTCTCCTGCAGAACTGTCATTATATCTAATTGCCCATATGGGATGTGCAGGCAAGCAGATATACTGACAGATTCAATGACCTACCACAGCACTCCTGCATTGAGAACTACAAGCCGACTGCCGCTAAGGCTATAGGGACTTGTAGTTCATTCATTCACAGAATATTGTGAATGAACGACGCGGCCATGTGGATGGCCAATTTTTTAAAATTGTTACAGCTAGCGAGAGGGTGACAATCTCCTGCTAGCTGTCAGAACGGGGATGGGGGGGCGTGGGGGCTGGTCCGTTCCTAACATGTTACATGTTACACCCTGAATATGAGTGTAACATGTTTCTAAAGGAGGACCTATCCTTTGGGCAGCACAGTGGCTAAATGGTTAGCACTTCTGCCTGGCAGTACTAGGGTTGTTGGTTCAAATCAACCACAGCACCACCTGCCTGGAGTTTGCATGCAGTGCCTGTGTGGGTTTGCTCCAAGTACTCCGGTTTCCTCTCACACTCCAAAGACATGATGGTAGGTTAATTGGATCCTGTCTCAATTGGCTGTAGTATGTGTATGAATGTGAGTTAAGGACTTTAGCTTGTACACCCCTTGAGGGTTAAGGACTGATGGGAATGTACAATATATATATATATATGTATATATATATATATATATATGTAAAGCGCTGCATAAATTGACAGCACTATATAAATACCTGTAATAAATAAATCCTTTAATACATTTTTGGACTATGCCTTTACAATTAATGAAGATAGTAATGGAGGTAAAAAAACAAACTAGTTCTCTAAACCAGTAGAGGATTAAAATGTTACTAAATGGATCATTTTATTCAAAGTGGAACTTTAGTCAGAAAATTAAGCTCTGCTAGATCACTTCATGTTTGCCTGTTTTGCAGGTATAGCTATGTAAATCATTAAAAATAAGTGCCTATACTGTTTAAAATACAGTAATACACTGCCTTACTCTGCTCTGCACATGCTCAGTTGCTCTGTATTTTCAGGCACTGTGCCGAATTATTAGAGGCCGATCTGCTGACATCTGGAAGATTTACTGCTGCTCTGGGTCTCTAGGCTTCAGCAAAATGGCAGCCTCCAGCAAGAAGAAACAGAACAATGTTGGAGGCAATTTACAGCACACACTAATTTTGGTAGCATAATTATTAATGTGGAATGCATGTTCCTTGCTGCAGAACATTATTTTATTTGTTATGGGTAAAGTTCCACTTTAAAGTGTTACTAAACCCAGGACCCTGCATTCACTATATTTGGTATTCCACAGTACACACAAAATGGGAATACAATTATTTTAGTAAATATATAAACTTCTAAATACCTTTTCTCATCAGCAATAAATAGCAGTCTTGTGACGACTATCAGTGTCCAGAAGAGCACTGGTTAAAGCTTGTAGGAGAAGTTTCCATTCTGCCCTGACTGTCCTATGAGGCTGCATAACCCCTGACCCTCTGGACAGTGCTGATCACATGCACCCTCCCAAAGAATAAAATACACTCTCTAGCCATACACATTAAACTGAGCATGTGCAGAATAACTCCTAGAGCTCTGTACTATCAGCAGATGGATTGGGGACCGTAGAAGATGGGGAGAATCAGAGAACACAAGAACAAACATTCTTTTTACAAAATACAGAGGTTTAACCCCTTAGGTTCCACAGTGAGTATAACAAGCATGCTTTACTGCATTTACAGACTGACTTTACTCTTGTGGGTTTAGTAACATTTTAACTGGGAGCTGATTTTCCAGGGGAGATACCCTCCCCCCCAAAAAAAAGGTGTAATGCCATCCATTCAAATTACTGAACATCTTGCTTTTGTATATCATATATATTACTGTAATCATTGTACCTTTCTATACTTACTACTTTACTGTCTTGCAGCTTCCCTAGCTCCAGTCGTTGGAGAGATTGGTGGACAAATACGTTTACCCTGCAGTACTGTGGAAGACAACGTAACAACGTGGGCCTGGTTTTTGGAGAATTCCACACAAGAATTACTAAACTGTGACAAAAATAGTTCATCAGATTTCAGGTTCCTGAGGGACAATGTAAGTTCTTCTCTTGTAATAACTAATCTGCGCCTGGAAGATGGAGGGAACTATGGATGCAGAGGCTGTTCACAAACTGCAGAATCTAAGCCACATATACAGCTAATTGTCACAAGTGAGTATTGTACATAATTAAAGTGATAATAAATCATCAGTTTTTGTAAACACATTCAGCAGCTGTTTTTATCACTAAATGGCTTGTTTAAACCTGAAGTCAGGGGGGTGATAAAAACAAGCAGTTGAGCAGCATTTTTACTACTCCCTGACTGTCCTCTTTAAAGTGTTAAACCCAGGACCCTGCATTCACTAGTATCTGGTCTCTCACAGTAAGCAGAACATGGAAATGCAATTACTTTAGTAAATATAAACTGCTAAATACCTTTTCTCATCAGCAGTTAGATCAGTCTTGTGACTTCTATCAGTGTCCAGCAGAGCACTGGTTAAAGCTTGTAGGAGGTGTTTTCTCCCCTGATTGTCCTATGAGGCTGCATGACCCATGATCCTCTGTCTGGACAGCGCTGATTGGCACTGTGCTGATCACATGCACTCTCCCAATAAAAAACAAACTTCTGGAATTTAATTCTGTAAAGGTCGCACCACTGTGCTGCAACAGTGTGTGTTGTGAGTGGTTGCTGCGCTGCCCGAATCACCTGAGTGTTGCAGCACAGTGGTGCGATCTTTACAGAATTAAATTATATCACCTCCTCACCACCTGTAAAACACCTCAGAAAAGAGATAAGCCGCAGATCGTTTTTTTAGGGGGTCAAAAAAAAATTACATTTCCAAGTCAATCCAGCTTCACCAAATGCCCCACATGCCTGAAAATCGCTGTCAGAAGGACAACTCCAGAGGTTTGGTTTGTGCTCTATACACATCACTCACAGACTCTACGGGTCCTGGTACACTTCCCTATGTAGACAAGTGGGAAACAGACCTGGGCGAAACTCTTGACCAAGCGGGCTAGAATATATTTTTGGTGGGTCAACTCAAAATGTTCCCGAAACATCTTAGCCCAGGAAAACTCTTACAAACTAGTTTTTACGTTGGTATATGACTCCCGATATCTAAATTCGTCCCCAAAGCACCCTTGATGTGCTTTCTGGGCTGTAGAGTGAATGACACACTTTTTCACATTTGGTGGTCCTGCCCCATGGCCCCCCGATTTTGGATACATGAAAATAACAGGATTAGATCAATCCTAAATGTTAATCTTACTCCTAACCCTTGGGAAACCCAATAAGTCAAACCCCCTGATCAGAGTGGACTGACACTTTAATGTATCGTTATTTATTTCAGGTACTTATATAGTGCTGTTGATTTATGCAGTGCTTTACATATATATTGTACATTCACATCAGTCCCTAACCCTCAAGGGGTGTACAATCCAAGGTCCCTAACTCACATTCATACATACACATACATACTAGGGCCAATTTAGACAGGATCCAGTCAACCTACCAGCATGTTTTTGTAGTGTGGGAGGAAACTGGAATCGCTAGAGGAAACCCATGCAGGCACAGGGAGAATATGCAAAGTCCAGGCAGGTGGTGCTGTGGTTGGGATTTGAGCCAACAACCCTAGTACTGCCAGGCAGAATTGCTAACCATTTAGCCACTGTGCTGCATTCACATGCAGTCATAAACTACAATGAATAATGCTTGGATCTTTGATCTTGTGCCCTTGAAGTAGAACTACACTGCATTTGAGCACCACAAACCAAAAAACACTACTTCATTCATTTTTAATACTTAAAGCACACTCACCCACCGATTCATTTCTCCATGCTTTATTTTCATAAGAAATCACTTTGAAAAACACCCCCAGCATTTCTGGCCACGGCCATCTTGAGTAAGGGCAGATTATACATGTAGTATTTACTTTCTGGAATCCATCTGCCCTTAGCTCAGGCATACAGGCAGGAGGGCGTGCTTAGCTGAGAAAGCCCTTCCTATCCTCCTGAAGACTCCTGGGATGTACGATATAATTTGCCTAGGCATGGAAACCAGGAAGTAGCTGGAAAAAATTAGAATAAAGTTTAAAATAAGTGAATATAATATACTTTCCTATTTATTTACTAATGCTAGCTGCTGGCAGCCTAAGAATTAAAAATAGTTCATATTGATTGAGAGAGTGAAGTTCCGCTTTAACATTGATACATAAATAATCAGTAACCACATCAAGTGTTCAATTCTTTGAATTAGTACAGCATGCCATCCTGGCTTTATTTTTTTTTAGTTGCCTTCCTTGTTTCCTGTGTTTGTATACTAATCTTTTCTTTTATCGATGTAGGTGGTCCTCACAATGTGACTTTTAGGATATCTCCCACCAATGTTTTGCCAAACGGTACGCTTTATACATCAGTTGGTTCTGACTTAAATTTCAGCTGCAGCGCAAATTCCATTCCTCAGACCAAGATAGATGTGGTTCTGTATGCTCCGGATAAAAGTCCCGAGCCATTTCGCAGTGTAAATGGAAGCTTTCTTGACTTCTCTCTGCTGCGCATTGCTCTTGATTACAAAGGAAACTACACTTGTTCAGCAGAGAATGTTGCAAGCGGTAAAAATGTCTCCTCTACTCTGCAGCTTCTGGTCTATTGTGAGTATGATACTGTACATTATTCTTATATTTTATACCAGATTTACAGCAATGACTAAACCAGGGGTGGGCAACTGTGGCCCTCCAGCTGTTGGTGAACTACAAGTCCCATCATGCCTCTGCCTTTGGGAGTCACGCTTGTAACTGTCAGTTTTGCAATGCCTCATGGGACTTGTAGTTCTACAACAGCTGGAGGGCCACAGTTGCCCACCCCTGGACTAAACAGTATATGAGCTACAGTAGATGTAACCCAATCATTAAAATCTCATGTTATTAAAACTTCACTGCATCTGAGCACCACAAACCAAAAACTCTATTTAAAGCAGATCTCCACCGAAAAGGGGTAGTTACGCTTTAAGCCTTTGTTCCCTGCTCCCCATTAAGGATTGGCACCTTTGGGGAGTGGTGGGGGTAGCGAGTACCCAAATTTGACAAGTACCCGCTCCCACTTCCGTTGAGGTTGTTTTTGGAGTGGAGGCACAGAACAGAGAACCCAAAGTTACCAAGTGGCTCCTTCGGGGGTGGCGCTACACACTTTTCACTGAAGTCCTACATCTAAACTGAACTCCTAGAAGCTAATTTTAAGATCTTGTCCAGATGGTACAGGAAACCAATTGTTATCCATACACTTTATCTAAACATCACTGATCGATGTTGGCCATGTAATATAACTAAAGGACTCAATTCTTCAAAGGTTTTGGTCTTGCTTGAAACTAAATCAGGCCATACACTGAGCAAAATTCATCACATCCAGGTACCCAGCCAAATTTGTATTGGTGTGTGGACTCCCCTGCTTGGCAGAAGTTAAAGCGGAGCTCCACTTAAAAGGGGAAGTTCCGCTTTACTGCTTTGTCCCCTGTTCCCCATTAAGGATTGGCACCTTTGGGGAGCGGGTACCCGAATTTTACAAGTACCCGCTCCCACATCCCCTGCGATCACCTAGACAATCGGAAGCGGAAGTTGTCCTCCCCCCCTCCCTCCCCGTAGTCTTCTGGGACACGTGACAGGTCCCAGAAGACTACGGGACCATTCACAAAGCATGGCGCTTCTCGCACATGCGCAGTGGGCACCTGGCTGTGAAGCCGCAAGTTGTCGCAGCCAGGTGCCCACACTGAAGATGCCAGCACCAGGGAGAGAAGACAGCCGGTGAAACCAGCGGTGGTGAAAACACCGCTGGACCGAGGGACAGGTAAGTGACTGTATTTTAAAAGTCAGCAGCTACAGTTTTTGTAGCTGCTGACTTTTTTTTTTAGGTGGAACTCCGCTTTAATTCATTTTTAATATTCAAAGCAAACTCGCCTCTCCATCCAAGTCTCCATGCTTAATTTTGCTGAAAAATCACTTTAAAAACACACCCCCTAGAATTTCTAGCTGTTGCCTTCTTGAGCAAGAGCAGAGAGTTCATGTAGCATGTACATCCTGGAATCTATCGGCCCTTAGCTTAGGAATACAGGCAGGAGGGTGTGCTTAGCTGAGAAAACCCCCTCCTCTCCTGAAGATTCCTGGGATGTATGACATCATTTGCCTAGGCATGGAAACCAGGAAGTAACCGAAGAAATATGAAAAAAAAAGTTTAAAATAAGTAAATATGATATATTTTCCTATATATCTACTAATACTAATAGCATAAGGATTAAAAATAGTCAATGTTGATTGAGAGAGTGAAGTTACACTTTAATGTCATTTCAAAACAAATTATTTGATTACATTTTTTTAGTTTGCAGCTTTAATTAGGGGTGGAGAGGTGGCTAGGATATTTGGAGTTAGTTCAGCTTTTCGTTTTTCGTGAAAAGATGAACTTAGCTTTTAGGTCAGTGGAAGTCATGCTATATCTGTGTCCAAACCTTTTCATAACTGAAAGCACAGGAAGGAAACCACCTGTTAGTTAATGGAAATAGATTTTTTTCATTCCTGCCTAAGGCTAGGTTCACACCTATACAGGTTGCGTTTAACCTGTTGTTGCGTTTTTGCACCTGTGTTTTTAACGTGTTTTTGATGCATTCTGCGTTTTTGGGGAGGGGTTCATTTTTTTTTCTTGTTGCTAGGCAGATTTAAAATGCAAAATGCATCAAGAACGCAGCAAAAACGCAGCAAAAATGCATTACAAGCTTTTGTGCAGCATTTCCATTGAAGTCTACGGAAAAAAACAACAACTTTTTGCATTAAAAAAAGTCCCTGGCCCTTTCCAAAAACTGCACCGAGTGAAAACGTGGAGATGTGAATTTGTCCTATAAGAAATCATGTTAAATTAACTGTACTGTGTTTCTGCAAAATGCTGCAGAAAACACTTAGGTGTGAACCTAGGGTAAAGCTGGCTATACACTAGTAGAATTCCGTTGAAATCTTTTTCGGACTTTTTGTTATTATCTTATCGTCAGTAGGGTCATTTGTTTTCTACCGCAGGGATGAGAAAATTTGAAGCAGCAAATTGTAATTTTTTTTCAAATGAACGAATTTCTAACAGTGTATTTGATTTTCATTTTTTAATAAATTAATTCCAAAATCAAATATTAAAAGCAAATTAAACTTTGAAGTACTTTCGAACAATATCTGTAAAATCATCAAATGTCTTGAGAATCTACTAGTGTTTGCTGGTTTTACACCTGCTGGTCTAAATGTAACTGACAGAGCCATGAGGATACCATAAACAGTATTTTTTTTGTTACAAAAACAGTGTTTTGTGTGAAAGTACACTAAGGTCATGTTACAGACTCTTTTTAGGTACAGATATTTAGATAAGGTTGTTTGCACAGTTCTTCAATCTGTTGTAATGACAGGCATCAAGCATGGTTTCTGGTGTGCTAGTGTGATGTGAATTTGTTTTTAAAATGTATTAAAGTGTAAGTTCACCCTTTTAGAAAAAAATGATAAATACACATATTTTTACTGAAAAAAATGTGTATTAATTATTTTTTCTGCAGGAGCCTGGAAAGCATTGTACCGTAGATCAGTGGATCGAGGTTCCGGCTTCTGCCGACAAGTCCTGCACCTTTCAACCCATACCTTCATATGGGCTATCAGTTTGAAAGCAGCAGGGCTTGTGAATGAACTACAAGCTGTCTGTCGCAGTGACTGACAGTACTTGTAGTTCATTCATTCACAGGAAACTGTGAATGCTGTGGCCTTGTGGGTGACGTCCTGCACAGCCATGCTGTTTTTGAATTGTGAGAGAGGGTACAGAGAGAGGAACCCACCCACTGTCACACTAAGGGGGGGTCGGAGGGACAAGTTGCAGGAGCTGGAACATTTTACATTTTCTACCCTAAATACGGGTGGAACATGTAACATATTCCAAAAGGTGAACTTATCCTTTTAGATATTTGTGATATCCAAAGTAGGTTATACTTTGGTATACATGTCCGTTCTAACAGGCATCTGTAAAACAGTCCTGCTGGAAAACCAGCATTTGATCAGCTGCCATAGCCAGGCTGCAGCACTGATCAGTGTATTCTGACAAGGTGAGGGGTTTCCCTGCTGTCAGAATGCAATAGTGCAGCGAGAGAGACCCCTGAATCCACATTCCTTGAGTGGATGTGGAAATCTGTGTTTTTTTTTTTTTTTTTTTTACTTTAACCCCCTGATTGAGTGAAAAAAACTCAAGGCATATACCCTACTACAGTTTCTATAGCTGGATAAAATTGAGAAAATGAATAAGAAGAAGTTGCCTTTGGCAAAAACACTTATCAAAACAATCAGTAAATCCAGATATATAGGCAACTCCTCCTTTAAGGGCTCATGTACAAGGGGTGTTTGGAAAACTCTTCTGAACGATGGAAACTGACTGCTGGAAAACGTAGAATAAAAAACGTCAGTTTATCCGCGTTTGCATACCGCGTTTATGCGTGTTTGCGTTTAGAAGCTTTTTTAAAAGATAACCTCAGGGGACCTTCCCAAATGCCCAGAATGCACTGAAAAATAGTAAATAATTAACTATTTCAGACATTTTGAGAGAAATAGAGAGAGCAGAATCAGAGAGAGCAGTATGTGTTGAGATGACCTATCTTTACTGGTTGCATTCACTATGGATCCCATCATGAGCATAATGCTGCACGTTCTACCATTTGTTCCTTCACGCGAAACCTGTAATTGACTGCACTGGTGTACCGGGTCCATTTGAATACATGGAAAACGCTTTGCATGCATTTCTGATGATGAGAAAAAGCTCTGGACAGCATCTGGATATGGAACAGTTAAAAAACGCTTCTAAACACAAACGCTTATAAACGCGGTTAACCGGTTTGGCGTTTGAAACGTCGGTAAAATCTACTCCCGAATGCAAGTTTGGTGCGTTCAAAAAAACGACTGTAAACTCAACTGCCTGTAAACGACTGTTAACAACATAGTGTACATGGACACATAGGAAAACATTAGGGAGAATTCAGGGGCTGCTGAAAAATACGCTGAATAGCTCCTGAACATCAGTTTAGCATCTGCAGTGTACATGGAGCCCTAATAAGAGTTGAGTTCAGCCTCAATTAGCCAGTGAGGCCATGCATCATGATATAGAGACTTACAAGGCGACAGGATGAGGGCTCAAACTAGATTTACTGGAAAGGTTGAGATTTGCAAAGAATTTCCGCTGCCTATATATCTGGTTCTACTAGTCCTTTTGTGACATGCTTTTCATTGAAGGTAGGCAGTGCTTATGCATTTGTCATCATATTCTTGGTTTCGGTTTCTCAGGTTTGTGGTTTATGTTAAAATTATATTTGATATATATTACATTTATTCTTTGTTCTGTACAGATGCACCAAAACACTCTATGCAGTGCAGTGCCAACTTCACGGGGATACACAATGAAGTATCATTACTATGCAGCAGCTGGCCTGGAGGATATCCAGCTCCTATACTGGAATGGGAAAATGATGGCAAAACACTTTTTAATGACACTTCAGACACTTTGATGGCTTCAATAAAATAATTCTCAGTTCAGTACTGGCCAAATACTCACATGCAGAGGAAAACACCAGATAGCACAAGATATGAAAGAAGAGCATTGTCAAGTACATTTAAGTAAGTTGTTAATAAACATATTAGTAGATTGATTAATTAAAGTGTTACCAAACCCAAGAGCCTGCATTCACTATATCTTGTCTCCCACTGTACACAGAATATGGAAATGCAATTATTTTAGTAAATATAAACTGCTAAATACCTTTTGTCACCAGCAGTATATAGCAGTCTTATGACTTCTATCAGTGTCCAGCTGAGCACTGGTTAAAGCTTGTAATAGGACTTTTCATTCTGCTCTGACTGTCCTATGAGGCCACATAACCCCTGTCCCTCTGTCTGGACAGTGCTGATTGGCCCTGTGCTGATCACATGCATCTTCCTACAGAAAAAAAACTCCCTAGCATCCACACCAGTCTAAGCATGTGCAGTGTGACTTCTAGAGCTCTGTACTATCAGCAAATGTATTGGGGACAGTAGAGTAAGCGAGGATCAGAGAAGACAGGATCAAACAGCCTTTTTTACACAATGCGAAGGATTAACCCCTTAGGTTCCACAGTGAGTATAACAAGCATGCTTTACTGCATATACAGACTGATTTTACTGTTGTGGGTTTAGTAACACTTTAAATACTGCTATTATGAAAAGTTCTATATTTGAGACATGTTGTGGCTTGTAGAGTGGTTCACATCCTAGAAATGGAATCTGTGAGGACAGAAATATTGAAGTTCCCATTGGTAACAGGTTTTTAATGGTGCAAACTCCAGGGATGTTATTCTGGTCTCATTCCGAGAGTTTGAAGTTCTCTTGATGCATACTTGTTTTATGTTCGTGACTTTCTAGATGTTAATCCAGGATGAGGAAAATGCATCTTTAAAAATGTCAGCAATGATAAATTGCGTAATTGTATCTTCACAGGTTCACATTTTAATTTTATTATGAATAGTATGGATGCATGCAAAGCAATTTTTTTTAACACTTTTGCAATAAAGGAAATCTATGGTCACAGCATACATTGTATTGTTATTACAGGGCTGATACAATAGAAAGCAATAGTTCTTATTGGCAATCCAATATCCGCTTACTTGAACATTTCCCTTTCATGTTGTGATTTCTGCCTGTCTGCTGACAGTCTCTTTCCACAACTTCCTGGATTCCCAGCATGCTTTGCATCTTCTCCTCTGCTGTTTACTTTCCATTCCTAAGGACTACATATCCCATGGTACCTTGCTGCTTGCAATCAGTGATTCCTGTACTGACTCCGCCTTCTGAAACTCCTCCTCTTAGCACCTCTGTAGTTCAGAAGGCAGGTTCTGGGAATGTGTGACACAGGGCATAATGAATAGGTGTCACAGAATTCATGAAAGTAAATGTGTAGGGATCTTCACAAAGTAAGTTTACAAACTTACAGATCACTTAACCTCTTGGCGCCGGCCGAACGCAAATGTGCGGCCTCCCGGCATCTGGGCCTAAACGCCGAGCAGCCACACATTTGCGTTCTATTAAAAGAAAACATATGTGCTGAGAGTGCGCGCCCTGCACGCTCCCAGCACACACGTTCGGTACTCACGGAAAGGTCCTGATCTCTTTTGATTGGGACCTTTCCCGATCATGTGACCGCCATGACAGCAAATCACGGCAGTCACATGACCCTAAAACCCGCCTCCTGGTTTCCTGGAAACCTTAAAGGGCTGGGAGGCGCCTGCGCCAAGGGGTTAAAGACCAGGCCTTTCTGGCACTTTTTGTTTACATGTAACAATCAGTATTTTTTACTAGAAATTTTCTTAGAACCCCCAAATATTATATATCAGAAGCCCTAGAGAATAAATTGCTAGGTTTTGCATTTTTTTATGTCACATGGTATTTGTGCAGCTGTTTTTCAAACACAAGATCAGTGTGTGATTAAATGCTGTATATTTCTGAGTAAACCAGACATTTTGTAAGGTCATCGCTTCTGGGTTGCTATATCATAGAGCCCAGCAAATCAGATTCAGTCTTTGATGAGCTCTATGATCAGACGGCAGAAGCTCCGGCTGGTCGATTGGGACTCCCAGTAGAACAGGAGATCCCGTTAAAGCCGCGGAAGCCGACAGGAGGGGAGGACATCATCCCGGTGCAACTACTTGAAGACCAGTGATGTACCAGGTACGTGACTGGTCTGCAAGTGGTTATTAGGCTAGAAATAACTGAAATACAATGTGGAAAAGAAGATTGGATTTTACATTTTGACCATAGATACACTTTAACCACTTCCCGACCGACCGTTGCACATAAACAGCCGGACGGTGGCAGTGCAGGGTCGAGTGGCCGTTTATAAACGGCCTCCCCGCACCCTGCTTGTGCGCACTCCCTGGGGGCACGCAGCACCGCGATCCAGTGCCCGCTGTGTCCTCCGGACACAGTGAAACACCGATCGTCGGACGGGACCTCTGTACGAGGTCCCGATCATGTGATCACTGATTGGCCAATCAGTGATCACATGCAAAGTAGTAAGCAAGATGTCACTTGTGACATCATTGCTTACTACGTGTGAAATCTGTGAATGATCACAGAGGTCACATGGTACAAGGCTATTCACAACAGCCTTGTACCATGTGACAAGCTATGACCAATCACAGCTCACTCAGTACTTCTCAATGAGTGCAAGAATGCACACAGAGAGAAAGAGAAATGATTGCTTTTATATTCTATATGGGTGTAAAAGCAATCAGTGTAAAAAAAAAAAATCTTCATCACCCCCCACAAGTAGTACAGTGTCACCATGGTGACACTGTACTGCTAGGGTGACAGTATGTAAAAAAAAAAAAATAATAATAATAATATAAAAAAAATAAAATAAAAATGTAAAAAAAAAAATGTTTAAAAATTATAATTTTTGGTTATAAACTAATTTGGATTTTTTTTTTTTTTTTACTAAAAAGATAACGGAATAAATTTTGGCAAAGATTTATGATGAAATATTATTTATTTGCAAAATTTTATAAAAAAAAAAAAACACTTTTTTTCAAAATTTTTTGGACGTTTTCATTTACATAGCAAAAAAAATAAAAATCCCAGCGGTGAATAATTACCACCAAAATAAAGCTTTATCTGTCTCAAAAAAAAATGGTAAAAAATTCATTTGGGTACAGTGTTGCATGACCACGCAATTGTCATTCAAAGTGTGATAGCGCTGAAAGCTGAAAATTGCCCTGGTCAGGAAGGGGGTAAAAGTGTCCGGTCTGGAAGTGGTTAAAGAGAAAGTTCCAGAGCTGGTAGCAGTTTTATAAAAATGTGTCATGTTTACTTGGAAATGGCTTTTGGAAAGGGTATGCAAATGCAAGAACTGGCAGTAAGTTCCTATTAAGAGCTCCCTGTGGCCACCCCTCTTCTTGGTTGATAACATAACACAATGGCCATTCATCCAGCAAGCTTCTAACAGTGGAACTCTTGTGTTGCTTCACTGTGGTGGAATGTTGGATAACTGGCCCAACATTTGGAGGCTACAGTATTAATCTGGCCAAACACTATACACTTTGATTGCACAGTCTTGTGCAGTCTAAAGTGCAGTATGTTTCACATTTACCGAAATGGTCAGCTTTAGAGTTACACAAGGCCTTGAGCATGTGTGATCTGAGGTTTAAACTATTATGGTTATGAACAAGGTTAATGCCTATGAAGAGGGAAGAGAAGGACTGCAGACTCTGGTCTGAAGTGGGAAAAAGCAATAACAATAACATTCATGAAATTAATTTTTCTCCCCATCAGGTAAGGCCTGCAGATATAGTGGATATAAAAAGTCTACACACCCCTGTTAAAATATCCGGTTTCTGTGATGTAAAAAAATTAGACAAAGATAAATCATTTCAGAACTTTTTCCACCTTTAAAGTAACCTATAAACTGTACAACTCAGTTGAACAACAAACTGAATTTTTTTAGGTGGAGGGAAGTAAAAATAAAAAGCTAAAATAATATTGTTGCATAAGTGTGCACACCCTTAAACTAATACTTTGTTGAAGCACCTTTTGATTTTATTACAGCACTCAGTCTTTTTGGGTATGAGTCTATCAGCATGGCACATCTTGATTTGGCAACACTTGCCCACTCTTCCTTGCAAAAACACTCCAAATCTGTCAGATTGCAAGGGCATCTCCTGTGCACAGCCCTCGTCAGATCACCCCACAGATTTTCGATTGGATTCAGGTCTGGGCTCTGGCTGGGCCATTCCAAAACTTTCATCTTCTTCTGGTGAAGCCATTCCTTTGTTGATTTGGATGTATGCTTTGGGTCGTTGTCATGCTGAAAGATGTTCAGCTTTCTAGCAGAAGCCTGAAGGTTTTCTGCCAGTATTGACTGCTATTTGGAACTGTTCATAATTCCCTCTACCTTAACTAAGGTCCCAGTTTCAGCTGAAGAAAAAACAGCCCCAAAGCATGATGCTGCCACCACCATGCTTCACTGTGGGTATGGTGTCCTTTTGGTGATGTGCAGTGTTGTTTTTGCACCAAACATATCTTTTGGAATTATGGACCAAAAGTTCAACCTTGGTTTCATCAGCCCATAACACATTTTCTCACATGCTTTTGGGAGACTTCAGATGTGTTTTTGCAAAATTTAGCTGGGCTTGGATGTTTTTCTTCATAAGAAAAGACTTCTGTCTTGGCACTCTACCCCATAGCCCAGACATTTGAAGAATACGGGAGATTGTTGTCTCATGTACCACACAGCCAGTACTTGCCAGATATTCCTGCAGCTCCTTTAATGTTGCTGTAGTCCTCTTGGCAGCCTCGCAGACCAGTTTTCTTCTCGTCTTTTCATCAATTTTGGAGGGACTTCCAGTTCCTGGTAATGTCACTGTTGCGCCATATTTTCTACAATTGATGATGACAGTCTTCACTGTGTTCCATGGTATATCTAATGCCTTGAAATTCTTTTGTACCCTTCTCCTGACTCATACCTTTTAACAATGACATTCCTCTGATGCTTTGGAAGCTCTCTGCGGACCATGGCTTTTGCTGTAGGATGCTACTAAGAAAATGTCAGGAAAGACCTACTAGAACAGCAGTATTTTATTTAAGGTTAATCAGAGGCACTTTAAATGATGGCAGATGTGTACTGACTCCTATTTAACGCGATTTTGAAGTGATTGCTTCATTCAGAACACAACTACATCCCCAGTTATAAGAGGATGTGCACACTTATGCAACCACATTATTTTATTTTTTTTATGTTTACTTCCCCCCTCCTAAAAGATTTTAGTTTGTTTTTCAATTGAGTTGTACAGTTTATAGGTCACATCAAAGGTGGAAAAAGTTCTGAAATTATTTGTCTTTGGCTCATTTTTTATATCACAGAAACCTGACATTTTAACAGGGGTGTGTAGACTTTTTATATCCACTGGTATGTGACTATTCTCATAAACATTTAGGTAAATGCTCTTGCAAG